CAAGAGTGAAACTGCGTCTCAAAAAAAAAAAAAAAAAAATTAGCCAGGCATGGTGGCCCATTCCTGTAGTCCCAGCTACTCAGGTGGCTGAGGCAGTAGAATAGCTTGAACCTGGGAGGCAGAGGTTGCAGTGAGTTAGGATGGCACCACTGCACTCCAGCCTGGGCAACAGTGGGAGACTCCATCAAAAAAAATAAAAAAGAAATTGGTACCCTTATACACTCACTGCTCTTTGTGATACAAAATGTAGCTGCTGCTTTAGAAAACTGTCTGGCAGTTGCACAAATGGTTAAACATAGATGTACTGCATGATCGAGCAGTTGCACTCCTAGAGAAATGAAAACATGGCCATACAAAAACCTGTGTGGACACAAGCACACTAATGTTCCCAGTGGCAATTTTCATAACAGACAAAAAGTGGAAGCCACTCAGAGGTTTATCAATTGATAAGTGAATAATTTAAATTGGTATATCCATGCAATGTCATATTATTTGGCAATAAAAATGAAGTACTGATATATGCTAAAATATGGATGAACCCTGAAAACATGCTGAGTGAAAGAAGTCAGTCACAAACGACCACATATTATTATTCCATTTATATAAAATGTCCAGAATAGAAGGTCCAGACAGAAAGTAGATTAAGGCTACAGCCAAGGAGGACAGATTTTCTTTGGGGTCTAACAAAAAATGTTCTAAAAAATTTTTTGAGACAGGGTCTTACTCTGTCATCCAGGCTGGAGTGCAGTGGCTCAATCCCAGCTCACTCAGCCTCAACTTCCAGGGGCTCAGGTGATCTACCTCAGGCTTCCAAGTGGCTGGGACTTACAGGTGTGTGCCATTATGCCCGCCTAATTTTTTTTGTATTTTTTGTAGAGATGGGGTTTTGCCACATTGCCCAGACTGGTCTTGAACTCCTGGGCTAAAGCGATTCTCCCACCTCAGCCTCCCAAAATGTTGGGATTACAGGCATGGGCCATTGTGCTCTAAAATTGATTGTAGTGATGGATGCACAACACTGTGAATACATTATAAGCCATTGAATTGTACACTTTAAGTGGATGAGTTGTAAGGTATGTGAATTATATCTCAGCAAAGCTGTTAAAAAACAAGTAAATGACCTTATGCAGAAAGTGAGTAGCATTCAATCTGCAGTATATTTTAACAACACTTACTAAAAGTTTAAGCTTTGTTTTTAACGTATTTCTGTTCAAATCTTATTTTTCACTTTGTTACATTACTGTAGGCAAGTTAATTTTTTAAGCCTAAGTTACTCCTCTGTAAAGTGGGGGATGGTAATTATCTTATAGATGCAGGTTAAATGACGTGTAAAACAGAGTGGTTGGTATGTAGTAAACAATATGTGTCATGACAGAAACACTCAGCAAATTATGAATACAAATTCCTTATTCTAACAAAGGGTATATGTGATAAGCAGAAAAACGGCTCCCAGAAATGTCTATATCCTAAAATCCAGAATCCATGTGTCTTAGTCTGTTAGGCTGCTATAATAAAATACCATAGACTGGGTGGCTTGTAAGCAACAGACATTTATTTCTCACAGTTATGGAGGCTGCGATGTCTAAGATCAAGGTGCTGGCAAATTTGGTGGCTCATTTCCTTGTTCATAATTGCCCATCTTGTCACTATATCCTCACATGGTGAAAGGGATGAGGGGGCTCTCTTGGGCCTTTTTTCTTTTATTTTCCAGTCAGGGTGCTTTGCTCTGTTGGTCAGGCTGGTCCTCCGACCTCAGCCTCTTGAGTAGCTGGAACTATAGATGTATGATACCACACCTGGCTAATTTTAAAAAGTTTTTTGTAGAGATGGGGTCTTGTTATGTTTTCCAGGCTATTCAGGCCTCCTTTTTTTTTTTTTCTTAAAAAAAAGTATTCAATTTTTAAAAAATTTTTAATTTTCTTTTTTTTTTTTGAGACTAAGTCTTGCTCTGTTGCCCAAGCTGCTGTGCAGTGGCACGATCTTGGCTTACTGTATGTATTCTTGGCAACTTTGCTGAAAATGAGTTCATTGTAGGTGTGTAGATTTGTTTCTGGATTATCTATTCTGTTCCATTAATCTTTGTGTCTGTTTTTATGCCAGTACCATGATATTTTGGTTATTATAGCTCTGTAGTCTAATTTGAAATCAGGTAATGTGATTCCTCCAATTTTGTTCTTTTTTTTTTTTTTTTTTTTTTTTTGAGATGGAGTCTCACTCTGTCACCCAGGCTGGAGTGCAGTAGCATAATCTTGGCTCACTGCAACCTCCGCATCCTGGGTTGAAGCAATTCTCCTGCTTCAGCCTCCTGAGTAGCTGGGATTATAGTCACACACCACCATGGCTGCCTAATTTTTGTATTTTTAGTAGACATGGGGTTTCACCATGTTGGCCAGGCTGGTCTTGAACTCCTGACCTTGTGATCTGCCCACCTCAGCTTCCCAAAGTGCTGAGATTACCAGTGTGAGCCACGGAGCCTAGCCCAGTTTTTTTTTTTTTTTTTTTTTTTTTTTCCTCAGGATAGCTTTGGCTATTCTGGATCTTTTGTGATTTCATATAATTTTTAGAATTATTTTTTCTATTTTTGTGAAGAATGCCATTGGTTTTTGTTTTGTTTTTTTGAGATGGAGTCTCACTGTGTTACCCAGGCTAAAATGCAATGGTGTGATCTTGGCTCTTTGCAACATCCACCTCCCGTATTCAAGCGATTTTCCTGTCTCTGCCTCCTGACTGGCTGGGATTACAGGCATACGCCACCATGCCCAGCTAATTTTTGTATTTTCAGTAGAGACAGGGTTTCTCTATGTTGGTGAGGCTGGTCTCAAACTCCTGACCTCAGGCAATTCACCTGCCTCAGCCTCCCAAAGTGCTGGGATTATGGGTGTGAGCCACTGTGCTCAGCCGACATTGGTATTTTGATAGGGATTACATTGAATCTGTAGATTGCTTTGAGTAGTATGAACTTTTTTTTTTTTTTTTGAGTCTGGCTTTGTTGCCCAGGTTGGACTGCAGTGACTTGATCACAGCTCACTGCAGCTTTGACCTCTTGGACTCAAGTGATCCTCCTGCCTCAGCCACCCAAATAGCTGGGACTACAGGTGCACGCCATCTTGCATGGCTAATTTTTTGTATTTTTCGTAGAGACGGGGTCTCCATATGTTGCCCAGGCTGGTTCCAAACTCCTGACCTCAAGTGATACACCTGCCTCAGCCTCCCAAAGTGCTGAGGTTACAGGAGTGCACCACTGTGCCCAGCCTGAACATTTTAGCAACATTAATTCTTGCAATCCATGAACATGGAATATTTTTCCCTTTTTCTGTGGAATCAATTTTCTTCTATTTCTTTCATCAGTGTTTTCATTGCAGTTTTTTCATACAGTTTTCATTGCACAGATCTTACACTTCCTTGGTTAATTCCTATGTGTTTAATTTTATTTGTAGCTATTGTAAATAGGATTCCTTTTTTTTTCTTTTTTAGACAGAGTCTTGCTCTGTCACCCAGGCTGGAGCGCAATGGCACGATCTCGGCTCACTGCAACCTCTACCTCCTGGGTTCAAGCAATTTTCCTGCCTCAGTTTCCCGAGTAGCTGGGACTATAGGCACATGCCACCATGCCCAGCTAATTTTTTCATTTTTAGTAGAGAAGGGGTTTCACCATGTTGGACCAGGCTGGTCTCTAATGGCCTCAGGTGATCTGCCCACCTCGGCCTCCCAAAGTGCTGGGATTACAAGTGTGAGCCACTGTACCTGGTCCAACTTTCTTATTTTTCAAAATTGTTTTTTATATTCTAACTCCCTTGCCTTTCCATGCAAATTCTAGAATTTGTTTATATCTTCAAAAGCTTCTGCTCAGCCTCCTGAGTAGCTGGGACCATTACCATGTGCCACCACACCTCACTAATTTTTTCTCTTCCTCTTCCCCTTGCCCTTGCCCTTGCCCTTCTTCTCTTCTCTCTTCTCCCTTCTCTTCTCCTCCTCCCCTTTCTTCTTCTTGTCTATGTTGCCCAGGCTAGTCTTGAACTCCTGGGCTCAAGGGCTCTCCCCTTCAGCCTCCCAAAGTGCTGAGGTTACAGGTATGAGCCACTACACCAAGCCAGTTTTAGGATAATTTTTTTTGTGTGGTGTTTGCAGCAGGGGGTGTTGCAGATTCCTTGTCATTTTTATCATAGACGATCACCTTATCTTCAAAAAGAATGATTTTAATTTCTTCCTTTCCAATCTGTATTCCTTTTATTTATTTTTGCCTTATTGCACTGTCTAGGACTTGTAGTATAATGTTGAATAGGAGTGATATGAATGAACATCCTGCCTTGTTCCTGACCTTAGAGGAGAAAGCACTCAGACTTTCACCATTAAGTATTTTTGTATTTTTAGTAGAGACAGGGTTTCACCATGTTGGCCAGGCTGGTCTTGAACTCCTGACCTCAGGTGATCTGCCTGCCCCAGCCTCCTGAAGTGCTGGGATTATAGGCATGAGCCACTGCACCTGGCCTCTTTTCTGTAATTTCTTAAGTAGTATGCCTAGGTTATTGATTTGAGATCTTTCCTCATTTCTAATATAAGCATGCAATGCTGTAAAAGTCCCTGTAAGCACTGTGTTAGCTGTGCTGTCCCTGTGTTAGCTGCGAATTATTTTTTCTACCCTTGTGTGAGGGGAGAGCTGCAGATTTTGATGTTTTGTTTTTATTTTTATATTTTTCAAAATATTGTCAAATTTTCCTTGAGACTTCTTTGATGCATGGTTATTTGAAAGTGTGTTGTTTAATTTCCAGGGGTTTAGAAATTTCCCTGTTATCTGGGAAATTAGTATCTAGTCTATTATTTGGAAAACATGCTTATGGCAAAGTACAATGCCCATCACTTATCAAAAATACATTTTTATGTCTATTTCATGAGCATTTTTTGCTTATGGTGATCACTAAAGTCTTTTGATTGGTAACAAAAGTGATACAGTAAATAGCAAATATCAGCCGAACAGAGTCCAATCTTTTTTCTTTTGACAGGTGGTCTTACTGACAGCTTGGGTAATTTGAAGAAACTTACAAAACTCATAATGAATAACATTAAGATGAAGAAGATGCTATAAAACTAGGTCAGATTTCTGTTCTCATATTTTTATTAATGTAAGTTTTATAATAAGAATAGTTAACTTCAGACTCTTTGACATTGACTTGTCTGTACAAGGCAAGGATGTTTTTATGTACCTGTGACTACACTGGTTTCCCTAGACATTTTCCCCACTCCCATTACAATCCTTCAGCAACATTTCATTCAAATTGTACAACACTAGACTGTAAGCCTTTTGGGAACAGAGGCCATGACATGTTTTTAACTTCCCTTTCCCTGGCTCATGGTCTATGTTTTTATTTAATGCATAGAAACAATAATTTAAAGTTTATACTATGGTTTCATAATTAAGTAAAACTTCAGAATGAAGTGGGACACGGGAAATAATGTCAATCAAGAAAACACTGGGGGAAGCATGCTTTCATTCTACACTGGACGTTGTGTTTCCCCAATCAAAAAAATATAAAGGAAAACTTCCAGAACACATGGCTTACCACAGGGAACCAGGCCCTCCAGGCCAGGGAGGATTCCTGTTAAAGCTGCTTTCCTATGATGTCTCTGATGTTCCTATTTTTTTGTGTGTTTTGGGTTTCTGTTTCTTTCTTTCTTTTTTTGGCTTTTTTTCCCCCCTACTCGAGTCCTTACTAAAATTCTCCTCTCTTCCCTTCGCCTTGTTCTTTCTCTCTCTTTTTTTTTTTTTTTTTTTTTTTTTGAGATGGGGTTTCCCTCTTATTACCTAGGCTGGAGTGCAATGGCATGATATCGGCTCATCGCAACCTCCACCTCCTGGGTTCAAGCAATTCTCCTGCCTCAGCCTCCCAAGTAGCTGGGACTACAGGGATGCGCCACCATGCCCAGCTAATTTTTGTATTTTTAGTAGGGACGGGGTTTCACCATGTTGACTAGGATGGTCTTGATCTCTTTGACCTTGTGATCCACCTGCCTTGGCCTCCCGAAGGGAAGCTGGGATTATAGGCGTGAGCCACCACACCCGGCCACCTTGTTCTTTCTTATCCTGCTTCTTGCCAAAAGACAACTCTATCCTATAATCATAACATGGCTGAAGGCTGGGCACGGTGACTCACACCTGTAATTCCAGCACTCTGGGAGGTCAAGGCGGGCGGATCACCTGAGGTCAGGATTTCGAGACCAGCCTGGCTAACATGGTGAAACCCCACCTCTACTAAAAATACAAAAATTATCAGGCATGGTGATACACACCTGTAATCCCAGCTACTCGGGAGGCTGAGGCAGGAGAATCACTTGAACCCAGGAGGAAGAGTTTGCAGTGAGCCAAGATTGCTCCACGGCACTCCAGCATAGGTGGCAGAGAGAGACTCCATCTTGAAACAAAAACAAAAACAAAAATGAAACATGGTGGCTGACTTCTTTTTCCTTATATGGCCTACGTGAGAATAGGCAAATTAATTCAGTGTTCAATAAACATTTATTGCATGTGTATAAATTACAGAGAGAATCAGAGCTGGAAGGGGCTTGAGAGCATCTAATTCAACTCATTAATTTCACAGAAAACTTCACTGGAACCTAAAATGGCTTATTAACTTGCTCAAGATCTCACCAACTGGTAGAAAGAGGTCAAAATGTACCTCTCTAGGACAGCCTGGTTTTGCTATTAAGGAATCAAAATGTGAACTCAACTAAATCAGTCTAATTATATTAGTAATAATTTACTCTTTATTAAAGAGTTACTGTGCAATAGATTAGACCCTAGCCCAGGCAGTTTCATAAACCTCATTCCATTGAATCCCCACAACTGTCCTTGTACATAGGTATAATGATCCCTAACGCTTCAGCTAAAAGATTGAATAACTTGCCCATGTTTGTAATTATTAAGTAGGGGATCAAGGAATTGACTGCAAAGTTCATGCTCATAACCTCTAACCTGTATATACTCCCATGACAACAATGAACATTTATTGAGTACTTACTATGTGCCAAGTACCACATTAAATATGTTACATTATCTGCAACCTTCCCAAAAGCTCTGCAAGATTGACATTATTAAAATCATATTTTTTTTTGAGACAGAATCTCACTCTGTCACCCAAGCTGGAGTACAGTGGTATGATCTTGGCTCACTGTTACCTCTGCCTTCTGGGTTCAGGTGATTCTAATGCCTCTCAGCCTCTCAAGTAGCTGATTATAGGTACATGCCACCACGCCCAGCTAATGTTTGTATTTTTACTAGAGATGGGATTTCACCATTTTGGCCAGGCTGGTCTCAAACTCCTGACCTAAGGTGATCTGCCGGCCTTGGCCTCATAAAGTGCTGAGATTACATATGTGAACCACGGTGGCTGGCCATTAAAATCATATATTTCTTTCCTGTAGGCTAGAGTACCATAAAAATAAGGCAATATTTTTTTTAATTTTTAAATTCTTTCTCAACCCTGTGAGATAAGGCAATATTTTAATGACACAAAGTGAGGCCTAACCAATCCTAAACTCCACATTAGCTTTAGACCTAAGAATGAGGGATATCTTAGAATGTTTCCAATTGTACTGTTGATATAAGGTAAATCTTTCTTCTGGTTAAACATGATGCAGTGGATGTGGTCTTCATTCTAAAGCATCAGGCAGGCCCCATGTCATGAGTCCCAGGCAAGACTTTTGAGGCTGTAGACAGTGGCACTAGAAGCACTCCAAGGAACCAAATCTCCATGCTACCCCTCTGAACTCAGCCTCCCACGGTTTAAGATTTTTGAGAAGATTGAAAGGACAGTGCTCCTAGAAGCCTTCATCCATGAAAAGAATTAGGATAAGAGTATACACTGATGCCCATTAAAAAGACTACAAATTTACTATAGTTTTTCTCACACTATTCAGAGAATAACCTCCATATAAGTGATTTTTGTGTGGTCCAAGAGACTGGAAAGTGAGAGTTGACAGAAAAACAGCTCTCTTTGTAAGTTAACTGCAGGAAGTGACCTTAACTTACAGGAAGAACATGGAAATGTCTCTGCACAATTATTTTTTGCTTTCTTTTCAGTTCATTGATCTATGCTTAAATCAAATTAACTTGGTATTCTAATGCATTCCTTTCTATCTTTTTTCAGCTGAAGATCTGACATACCTGAAGAAGATGAATTTATTTCATTTGACTCACTTGTCTGATATTGGAAAGGGAATGGATTACATAGTCAAGTCTCTGTCAAGTGAACCCTGGCAACCCTGAAGAAATCCAATTAGCCTCCTGCTGCTTATCTGCAAATGCAGTGAAAATCCTAGGTAACTTGTTTTCACTAACTGAATGAGGACAATATAACAGAACATGTGATACTATTATACTAATTCTCACTAAATGTCTCAAATGGAAATTTAATTTTAAGGAAAATTGGAAAAGATTATAAAAACTTCTAGATAATAGGCTGATTTTTTTTTTGTTTGTTTGTTTGTTTTTGAGACGGAGTTTTGCTCTTGTTACCCAGGCTGGAGTGCAATGGCGCGATCTCGGCTCACCGCAACCTCCGCCTCCTGGGTTCAGGCAATTCTCCTGCCTCAGCCTCCTGAGTAGCTGGGATTGCAGGCACGCGCCACCATGCTCAGCTAATTTTTTGTATTTTTAGTAAAGACAGGGTTTCACCATGTTGACCAGGATGGTCTCGATCTCTTGACCTTGTGATCCACCCGCCTCGGCCTCCCAAAGTGCTGGGATTACAGGCTTGAGCCACCGCGCCCTGCGAGAAAGATTTTTTTAAATGTTCATAGGCCTCTAATTCCTACCCACTGCCCTGTTAAGAGAAAGTTAATGTGCATTAATATGACAGTTGAGTCTTCTGAGTTCCCAAAGGGATGCATATTAAGTATGGGGAAGCTTACTGCATATTTCTGGATAAACTATACATGTGTAATTCAGATATATTTTAAAATTTAGATTTGGAAAAGGGTGGTATAACCCTTCTAAAGTCAAACTATAAAATGCTGGGAGTCTATAAAGATAAGGAAGCCATCTGTATACTAATACAATATGCTTTTATTATTAACATCGCCAACTATTATGTCAATAAAATCATCTAAGTTGAGGTACACAAAACCAGCTCATTTCATTTATTTTTGTTGTTGTTGTTCCTCTGTTTCTCCCACATGACTAAGGGCATTTTATAATTGAAGCAACTTTACATTTTATCTGGTCCAACTACCTCATTCTATAGAGGAAGACGCTGAGGCTTAGAGAGACCAAGTGACTTTTCCATGATGACATAACAACTATGTTCCATGCTGCTTTAGGCTCTATGTGACCTATAATTTAGTAAACAGAACCTAGGACCAATGACTATTTGCACATTTGGTCGTAACCATGGGAGTTGGGGGTTACACATATGCCAGTACCTTTGGAAATAATTAAAATAACCAAGGCAAGTTATAGTTTGCATTACCATTAGCAGAAAAGATAAGGACTCAGAATTATTCTAAGGATACTTCAAAATACATTTATATTTACCTGAAAATCTTTTTATTTTGGATTATTTATTTTCCAGCTCAGAATCTTCACAATTTGGTCAAACCGAGCATTCTTGATTTATCAGAAAATAACCTGGGAAAAGGTGAAAATGAAGCTCTACATGAACTGAGTAAGAACGACAACTCAGCCAAAATCAGACACTTGAATATGTGTACTGGGTAGTCGGAATACATAGCCTGGGCCCTGAGGTCTTTTATCCCCATTAAGTGTCTTACTATACACACCTTCCTTAGGAAAACCATTTAGGCCTTTTTTAAACTGCCCTCAAGGAACACAGGCCCATGTCTTTTAAGTCATCAGTTTACACATGCTCACTGCACTTGAGACGGGATCCCACCTGCTTTCCTCCTTTGAGGAGGCAACTATCAGAGTAGCTGATGTGCAAGGCAAATTTGCTTAAGGAATTGGTGATATGATTTTTTAGGTGTGATAGCGATATGTGATTATGGTAAAAAAAAAAAAAAAAAAAGAAAAAATTAAAGAACTGATTCATACTGTCCATGATTTGCTTTAGAATAATACAGGAGGAATTGAGTCAGGATGAAGCAAGATTGCCCATGATTTAATGTTTTGAAAGTTGGCTTATTAGTATATACAGTTTCATTATACTATTCTGCATGTTTGTATATGCTTGAATACTTTCCATAAAAATCACCAAAGATCAAGTAGATTCTCATTGCAGATTGAGTAGGATGCAGAGCCACCGAACATAAAGATCATTCCTTCCTCAACATCCCTTGATTCTTCCTCAACATCCCTTGATTCTTCCTCAGTTTTGAGATCACCCAGTCCCTGAACTGTGCTCTTTGTTTCTTCCAGTTGACAGGTTGAACATGCTAGAACAGCTCACTGCACTACTGCTGCCCTGGGGCTGTGATGTGCAGGCAACCTGACCAGCCTGTTGAAACATTTGGAGGAGGTCCCATAACTCATCAAGCTTGGGTTGGAAAAACTGGAGACTCACAGAGATTAGAATTTTAGGTAGGTGCACAAATACAGAGCCAAGAAAAAAGGATTTGGCCCTTAAAAAGTTCTTGGCCTAGCGCGGTGGCACACGGCTATAATCCCAGCACTTTGGGAGGCTGAGGCGGGCAGATCACGAGGTCAGGAGATCAAGACCATCCTGGCCAACATGGTGAAACCCTGTCTCTACTAAAATACTAGCTGGGCATGGTGGCCGGCACCTGTAGTCCCAGCTACTTGGGAGGCTGAGGCAGAAGAATTGTTTGAACCTGGGAGGTAGAGGCTGTATTGAGCTGAGATCGCGCCACTGCACTCCAGCGTGGCACCTGGCGACAGAGCGAGACTCTGTCTCAAAAAGTTCTTAAGTTGGCTTTGTGTATTTTGTCCCCTTATTTTATTTTGCTTCCTTTTTTTTTTTTTTTTTTTTTTTTTTTTAAAGATGGGGTTTCACCATGTTGGTCAGGCTGGTCTTGGACTACCGACCTCAGGTGATCCGCCCGCATTGGCCTCCAAAGGGCTTGGATTACAGGCATGAGCCACCACGCCCAGCCAGCTTCCTCTTTTTTTTTTTTTTTTTTAAATATAAATATGTTTAAGGAGTTCATTCATGTTAAAGAAGACTTAAAACACTGGAACACGCCGGGCGCGGTGGCTCAAGCCTGTAATCCCAGCACTTTGGGAGGCCGAGGAGGGTGGATCACGAGGTCAAGAGATCGAGACCATCCTGGTCAACATGGTGAAACCCTGTCTCTACTAAAAATACAAAAAATTAGCTGGGCATGGTGGTGCGTGCCTGTAATCCCAGCTACTCAGGAGGCTGAGGCAGGAGAATTGCCTGAACCCAGGAGGCGGAGGTTGCGGTGAGCCGAGATCGTGCCATTGCATTCCAGCCTGGGTAACATGAGTGAAACTCCGTCTCAAAAAAAAAAAAAAAAAAAAAAAAACACTGGAACACTGGCCTTCCTTCAGGTTTTAAGCACTTTACCTACAGAATAAATGAAAAGCATTCACAGTATCCAACAAGATGTATTTGTTTTGTTTTGTTTTGTTTTGAGACAGTCTTGCTCTGTCACCTAGGATGGAGTTCAGTGGCATGATCTGGGCACACTGCAACCTCCACCTCTTGGATTCAAGCGATTCTTCTGCTTCAGACTCCTGAGTAGCTGGGACTACAGGTGCATGCCCCCACGCCTGGCTAATGTTTTGTATTTTTAGTAGAGACAAGGTTCACTATATTGGCCAGGTTGGTCTCAAACTCCTGACCTTGTGATCCGCCCAACTTGGCTTCCCAAAGTGCTGGGATTACAGGCATGAGCCACCGCACCTGGTCAAGATGTATTATATTAGTCATAGTTCTTACCGGTCTTAACTTTCTGAAATTCAGCAATGTCCCCTCCCCCATATCAGGAAATATTTTCAAGTTACTTATTGGGTATTCAAAATATATAAAGGTGAATGCAGCTGTATCTAAATGGAGCCACAAAATATCTTTAAGTAGTTGTATATTATCCAGAAACACATAGATCTATATAAATGACTGAAGACACTACCAACCTCAGGTAGATGATGAAAGAAGCCCTCATACTATCTGTATTAGTTTTCAATTTCTATATAACATACAGCCTGAAAACATAATGGCTTAAAATAATAATTATCTCACCGTTTCTGTGTGCAGGAATTTGGGAGAGGGCAGGTTAGCTCTGGCTTGGGCTTTCTCATGAGAGGGGCTGCTGGAGGATCTCCTTCCAAGGTAGCTTCTCATATGGTTGGCCAGTTAACACTGCTGTTGGCTGGAGGCCTCAGTGCCTCATCACTAGACCGCCTCATAGGCTGTGAGTGTCCTCACAACATGGCAGCCCACTTCCCCTAGAGCAAAGGATCCAAGCAGTTGGAAGCTGGAATGTCTTTTATGACCTAGCCTTGGAAGGTCATTTCTGGTCATTTCTGACATATCCCACTGGTTGCTCAAGTTAGTCCAATCCAGTGTATTGAAACATGAATACAAGGAGGTCAGGCTCATCAAGGTCAACTTGGAGGCTATCATACTAAAGTCAAGGACTTGTGAAAACAGCCTCAGCCGCCTTTGTTTCCCTTACAATTAGTTTACATAACATAAACTAATTATGTTATTATTTAATAACATGAAATTTATTATTTAAACTGTTTTAAGTATAAAAGCTTTATGGCATTAAGTCCTTTCATATTACTGTGCCACCATCACAACATCCATCTCCAGAGCTTCTTCATCTTCCCCAACTAAAATTCTGTACCCTTAAACATTAACTCCTACCTGCTGCCCTTTTTAGAACCTTCTTTCCTGGAGACACTTACTTAAGTCCTTAGGCTGCCCAAGGGTTTGCCTTACCTAATGGTGCTTCAAGTTCCGGATCTTTCCTTCCCTTAATTCCTAACTTCTCTTTTATCCACTTCCTCAACCCATTAACTCATATCATCCTGGTGTCATTCTTTCAGGCCCTTTTTTAGGTTATATTAGAGTCAGGTGGCTTCTGTGACAGACTAATTAGCTAGCTGATAAATAACCCCTCTTAGGTAACCTCATACCTTAAGTGAGTTGGAAAGGATGTCTCTTTTCAAAGAGGTCCTTGGAGAATATCTAGATTTAGAATTCATGTGGGGGAGGCATTTTTAGGTTGAGGTCTTTTAGTATCCTTTAAATCTTTAAGTAGGTAACTGCCTACTTTGTCCACTCCCAAGGCTGGCCATTAAGACCACAGAAAGAGATGATATGCTGAATGAAATAAAAACTGAGTTGGGCAATAATTTGCAATTTGACTTTATTTTTATTTATTTTTTTGAGACAAAGTCTCGCTCTGTTTCCCAGGCTGGAGTGCAGTGGCATGATCTTGGCTCACTGCAACCTCTGCCTCCCAGGTTCAAGTGATTCTCCTGCCTCTGCCTTAGCCTCAGCCAAGTAGCTGGGATTACAGGCACGCTCCACCACTCGGCTGATTTTTGTATTTTTAGTAGAGAAGGGTTTTTGCCATGTTGGCAAAATTCTATTTAAAAAAAAAAAAGAATTTGTGAACTGGGCACATTGCCTTACACCTATAATCCCTATGTTTTGAAAGGCTGGGGTGGGAGGATTGCTTGAGGCCAGGGGCTCAAGAACAGCCTGAGCAACATAGGCAGATCCCATCTTTATAAAAAGCTTTAAAAAAAAATTAGCTGGGCGTATTGCCACATGCCTGTAGTCCTAGCAATTTAGGAGGCTGAGGAGGGAGAGAATCCCTTAAGCCCAGGAGGTTGAGGTTGTTGTGAGCTATGCTCATGCCATTGCACTGCAGCCTGGGAGACAGAGTAAGACCCTCTCTCTTAAAAAAAAAAAGTCAATCCAGCAAGAGGATGTAATCATTATATATATATGCACACACACACACACACGTATATACACATATATATGATACACACACACACACACACACACACACACACACACACATATATATATAAACACACACACACACACACATATATATATGCCCCCAACGCTGGAGAACCTAGATATATAAAGCAAATATTGTTAGAGCTAAAGAGAGAGATAGAACCCAATACAACAATAGCTGGAGACTCAACACCCCATTTACAGCATTGTACAGATTTGCCAGACAGAGAATTAACAAACATCAGACTTAATCTGCACTATACACTAAATGGATCTATGAGATATTTATAGAGCATTTCATCCAACAGCTGGAGAATACACATTCTTCTCCTCAGCATATGGATTATTTTCAAGGATAGACCACATGTTAGGTCATAAAATAAGTCTTAAAAAAATCCAAAAAAATTGAAATCTGATTCAAGTATCTGATCACAATAGAATAAAACTAGAAATCAATAACAAGAGGAAATTTGGAAACTAGATAGACATATAGAAATTAAACAATATGCTCTGAAATGACAAGTCTGCTAATGAAGAAATTCAGAAGGAAATTGAAACAGGCTGGGTGTGGTGGCTCATGACTAGAATCCCAGTATTTTAAAAGGCCAAGGCGGGAGGACTGCTTGAGCCCAGGAGTTTGAAACCAGCCTGGGCAATATGGTAACATGTCGCCTCTACAATTAAAAAAAAATATATGTATATATTTTTTAAATTTCTTGAGACAAATGAAAATGGAAACACAACTTACCAAAACCTGTGGGATATAGTGAAAGCAGTATATGTGTATACATACACACATCCTTCCTTCCTTCCTTCCTCCCCCACGCCTCTCTTACGCTCTCTCTTTCAAGACAGGGTCTTCCTGTTGTCCAGGCTGGAGTGCAGAGATATGATCACAGCTCACCAGGCTTGAACTCCTGGGCTCAAGGGATCCTCCTTCCTCAGCCACCTGAGTAGCTGGGACTAGAGGCTACTATGCTCAGCTAATGGACCTTCCTCTTCAGTGACCTTCCCTCCCACTCTCCTTCGTCCATTCATTCTATGAGCAGGCAATGAACAGATTATGATAATTCACTTAAAATTGTTCTACTTGCAAAATAATCAATGCAGATATCCCATTCTCAAACTACAACTGCCCGTATTTCCATCTTGCTTAATGACTCCTAATCACCAGTTCTTTTACTTCACTGGGACTTCCAGTCCATTGATCCCACTACCTTCTACCTATTTTTTAGGCCCCTTCTGTTTTGATTTGCCTTCCTACCTAGTTTCAACTTCATCTTCCATCCTGCAAACACTCTTAACAGCTGAAATTCTCATGGCCCACAGTATCATGAGTCAATTCAGGCAATGACTTTGAGTGATGGATATGTGTGATAGATGCAATAGTAAAATGAAGAGCGTAATAAGAGATGGAGTCTCTAATTAAAGAAAGACTACCTAATGAGATGCAGGGAGAAAATGAGATGTGGAATGTGAGGTAAGTAATGAAATACAGTAGATGGGGTGTACTTTCCTGACAAAACTCCAGGCCTGGATTATCCTTATATTTCCCTTTTTTAAATTTTGTAACTACACTCAGGATGCTGGGGGGAAACTGCAAAATTTAGGAGAT